ATACAGAAATGATGACACGGTGTACATGCACATTTCGATCAAGATAATTGAGTCCGAGCTGTACTTTTTCCGGAAGTCACTAAAATGAATGCTGATGACGATGTGTGGAGCCACCTTAAGCTATATTTTTTCAGATTTCAATTTTCTTTTAATTAAAGCAAAGTCACATAAAACAATAAGGTTTATGGTAATGTTGTCTACAAAAAGCATACAGTTACATGTTTATTTTCTTTTTTTTATAAATGCAAAATTTCTGATTTTTTACATCATTATTTTCTAAAAAGAATACTACCAGGTAAATATAATGTCCTTTGTTATCAACATAATGATAAAATCTTCTTTTAAAAGCGACTGGAAATATAACCAAAGCAATGACAAACATTTGACAGAAGGAAAAGTTCTCAATAATTCAAAATTACTTTATTTTTTCATTTTTCCAGGCCAGTTATTCATGTACCGTATACCAGGGACAGTATACGTACTGTACGGCACAAGTATTTCAAACATGTTACTATTACTATATATTTTTTTACCTATAACGTGTTGTCCTGGAGATGTAGAAAACTCAATCACTTTTAGCGGGCGATTTTGAACGGATTCGCCGATAGAGTAGATACGAGTGATATCTGGGCATTCCGCATGGATTTCATTCAGTGCATCCGTCACTTCCTTGGTATTGTGGTTTCTCACTTCAAACCCAAGACATAATGCTGGCACGATCACCAACAGAATGCTTAGTTTAAGCATGTCAACTTTCGTTTTTGAAACGTTCATCTCCTTCGTGTATCAGATGTGTATTACAGATTATTATCAGTCCAATATGTTACCGTCCTGCTGTCAACGAGCACCTGCTGCTGTTAATGTTTATAATCGGGATGACGTAGGAATTGACGTCAAAAGCCTGAAAGGGAGACTTCCGTGTTTTATATTTTATACATTAGAATGTAATTCACTGTAGGTTGTGTTACAATATTTTTAATTTAATTAATATTAAAATATTATTACAAAAAAATATGTCAAAATGTTTTAATAAAACAAATGCATATATAAATACCAATATGTAATTTTCAAATATTGTGAGCAAGTACCTCTCCTTAGTAGGTACATCTATATTTCAGAATTAAGAAAGAAAAGGAAACAAAACTCAACAAAAGCGGATAAAATTTGTATCACCCGCATCAATGATATAATGACATATCGGAGTTTAAAGACTTTTATAACTTGATGAATTGCTAAACTTCACTGTTAGCCTATCATCATCCACAATGTTTTATTTCATTCGTATTTGAAATATATATCTACTGTGGCGGCAATATAAACCGGAAGTTCCAATGGGAAACTGACTGCGAAGGCACTCATAACAAATTATGGCTTTACATGCCTTTAGCAGATGCAGTGGAATTTTTCGAAGTGTTGTCAGTGGTACAATAAGGTATAAAGTTTATTTTGACGCATAAAATAGTGAATTATGAATAAAGTCAAACAATCTTCCTCCAATATACCAACTGTCAGACGTTTCTATATTTGGCAAGTAATTTGGTGGTTTCGGTGCTTTTGCTAATAGGACTTGAGAGTTGGACGTTTCGGAGTTCCCAACAGTTGTTTCGTTTTAATTAACAGCACACTGGTTACTTTTTGTTTCGTGTGTGTTGATGGTTTGACATTTTATTCTTCTTCATCATTTTTGTCTTTACAAAAAAGTGCCGAAACATCCTATTGCTGAATACCGAAACAATCGCCCACTACAGGTCGTTTCGCCCAAAATCCAGCTCGCCCAATGTTGCTTAGCCTTAATTATCAATATCAGTTAAAAGGTTTTTAATGATTAAAAAACTTACTGTTATAATGTTTCACGAACAATTGGTTTGTCGGAAGAATTTAATGCAGTTGTGTAGCTACATTGTGTGTGCACAGGGACTTGAAAATTATTATTATATACTTGGACCTTAACGAAGGTTTTCAGAGTTAGTTTACACATTTTAGTGATTCAGATCAATTTTTGTTAAAAAAAGCCCCCCAAAACAATATAGCTGTAACAAAATTCTCAAGTCCTGGTGAGAATGTGCAGATATGGTCAACCATGTACAAATTAAATATAACGAGTCTAAATGACAAAATAGTCGAAGGGATACCTTTGAAATCTTCAAACGAGATTATATAAGCCATTCATAGCTAAACCAGACTAAAATTATGTTAGGATTTAGGGCGACACAACTTGACATTGGAGGTATCTAAAAAAATAGAATTCTATTTGTCGGTGCATTCATTTCGATTATCTATAGGATACTGATTAGCTTCAACAATTTGAAGATTATTAATTGTCAGAGGAGGGTTAAGATGGAAAGAGGATATTTTTTATTACATCTAATTTGTGTTTGCAAAGTGACGGTTGAAACTTGATTTAATTTTTTATTTTTTATTTTGTAAGGCATTATATCAGAGTTAAATATTCCACTCCGGTATAGTTCAAGGGAAGAAAGTTTAAATCAGTTAGGTTTTGCATGATCGAAATTAAAAAAAAACACATTTTGAAATGGATGCAAGATGCTATGTGTATCTGCATGCGTCATGATGTTGTTGGAGACCACTATATGTTCCATGATACGGCCCAATCATACGGGCCTGTAGTTTTCCTTAGGATTGAATTTTGGACCCTTTATTTCAAATCCAGAGGGACCACACCTGTTGCCAGTGACTGCTTGAATATCAGAGTTAAAATCAGGGCTATTTCTGTTGCAAGCTCTTTCAGAATTCTTGGTTTGATGTCATCAGGGCCTGAGGTCTTGTGTGAATTTAGAACTTGGGAGAGTTTTAAGACTCCTCATTCATGGATAGTAATTTCAGGCATGGTGAATATGTATAATGAGCAGGCCTTTTACACCTAGTGCAACACTGCTGATCAGTGAATATTTCAGAGGGATTAAATGCAGATTGGAAACCTTTTCAATCCTGGCTAAATGACATGGTTGTTTTTAGGTTACCTGAGACA